CACTGCTGATGCGTAAATTTATGTCACGCTACAAGAATGCCCACCTTACAACAATCGAAAGTACATATGAACATTTTGGTGAAACTGAGACACGTTATCGTTTGGCCATGTGTCACAAACATTTGGGTGAAAATACACAGGCTATTAGTGCTTTGCAGGCATTGCCTGCAAAGGCGAGAACACCAAAAGTCCATTTATTGTTGGCTAAATTAATACACCATGGTGGTTCGAACTCGAGTGAAGCCATATTAAATTATAAAGAAGTATTGCGTGAATGTCCAATGGCATTGGAGGCTATAGATGCTTTATTAGAATTGGGTGTCGATGGAATTGAAGTGAATTCTTTAGTTATGAATGGTAAGTTAAAATATAAAAACATATGGGTACTTTATGTTTGTTTAGAGTACATAAAAAGTATTCTTGAAAATATACGAAAAATTTTAAACTACTGCGGAATCCAAGAAAGAAGATACTAGAACGATTCTTATCAAGCTAAATTCAGATCGGTTTTTTTATAAACAGTAACATGGATTTATTCTATTTGTCCCTATCTCATTTTTTTAATGTTTTACTAAATTTTGTAAACAATCACATTTTTCTTTTTCATTCAGATTAATTGAAGTTATTTTTTCTCCTTTAAAGCAAGTACAGTACCAAAAAATATCGAATGGCTAAGTACCTGGATAAAGGGGCATGCCCAGCTGTATAGTCGCAAACATATGGAAGCCTCTAAAACGTTCCAAAGTATTAACAATAAAACGAAATTTCATCAAAATGAAAATCTCATTACATTGATTGGCAAATGTTTCTACTATTACGGCAATTCTACACAGGCACAACATTATCTAGAGACGGCTGTAATGTTGAATCCATACAATTGGGAAGCAATAATGCCACTAGCTGTGGTCTTCGAATACAATCAAAAGCTTCAAGAGTTGGAAAAACTCACAGCTCAATTGACAAATATTCATGAATTTACATCGGGGCATTGGTTTGTGCTGGCACAAAGTTTTTATGCCAATGGTAAATTGGATAAGGCAGCGTCGTTTGCCAATAAGGCGTTATCGGTGAATCCGCGTAATGTTGAAGCTCAGCTATTACGGGGTAAAATATGTCTGCAAATAAGGCGTCACAAGGATGCGGTTTATTTCTTCCGTTCTGCCCAGTGTATTGCCAATTATCGTTTTGAGGTTTACAAAGGTCTGTTCCATTGCTATGTTGGTATGAAGAGGGCCAAGGAGGCACAGACAATGTGTGCTCTAACGGTGCGTTACTTTAGAGAATCTCCAAGGAGTTTAGTGGTGAGTATTATGCTTTCCTTTTTGGTATAGTAAAAACATCCTAAGGAATTTTCTTTTCCAGATGTTCGCCCGCACCTTGGTCAATTCCACACATCCCAATGCAAAAAAGAGTGCCAAGAAAGTTGTTGCTAAAGCTTTGGAAATCGATGAACACTATGCTCCAGCCGTTGCATTAATGGCCGAACTCTGCCATTCAGAGGGTGAAACCCAAGAGGCCATTGCCTTGTTAAAGAAACAAGTTATTATTTATCCCCATTATAAACTATTTACCATGTTGGGTGATATTTTGGCCCAAGAAAAAGATCTCAATGCTGCTTTGGAATATTATACAACGGCATTGAGTAATGAACCAACATATCAAAGGGCTTTGGATGGTGTTAATGCCTTGGGCAAGGCTCAATGGTCATCGAATACGAAAAATGAACAAGACACCTCGATGACATCGTCGGCAAATCAAGACGATGAATGGCCCATTGAATGTGATGAACCATCGGTTGAAGCTGTGGAATTGTCATCGCCGGCAGTACAAAATGATGATGATGAATCCGATACATTTTCAGATCCATTCTGGCAAGATGTTAATGCCGAATTAACCAATTAATTTTAAGTAAAGAGTTTAGAGTCATGTTAAGAATATTTCATTCCACTTTTTGTCCATTTCATACATATATTTTTTGTTTTTTTTTTTTCATTTCTAGATCATGTTCACAATTCATATCCTTTATATACTCAATATTATTTATAATAAAAAGAAAAACTACTGAAGAATTTTAATTATTTGTTATAAAATATGACTTTATTAATATAAGATGTGCAAGTACAAGGTCGAAAAGATTTCCTATAAGGCGTTTGCATTTAGAATACCCAGGAGACTATCTATTGGCAGACGATTCATAAAGTCTTCCACTAATAAGACAAGCCCCGTATCCATATAAACAGTCAATAAGATATTTTATGTACATAGGTCTTCCATACTATAACCAAAAGAATTTATTTTTACTCAGAGCACTGAATGTATTCTAAATGTAGGTCCAATAAGAGTCCAATAAGACCATCTATTCATAGAAGTCAAATGTCCTACATACTTTGAAGACAAAGGACTTCCTTATTTTGAAAGGTTACCCACCAGATAGACACGAAGGGTTTTACACACAGAAGAATAGTTTTCTACCCAAAAACAAGGGTTTTTATGCATAATAGACATAGAAGTACTTCTATTAATGGGCGATTCTTATCCATATATATAGGAGATCAACGTTTTCTATATTTTGAATGTTGAGATGTTCTTCTGTATTGTATATGGAAGACGGGGATAAACAAAAGAACCGACTATGTTTATATTAGTAACAATAGTCAACGGCTATACCCACAGAAAATATACAATTCGTAATGATTTTTATAATTAATCTCTTTATTACAAAAATTGTTCTTATGTTTATGTATACAACAACACCGATTGATTAACCGGCATCCTTTACTCTCCTATACACTTTCAACGCTTACTTAAATATATAAAAAAACGAATTAACATTTTTTAGGCTGCATTCTCGGTTTCTTTTTCACCATTTTCCGTGGTGCTGGTATCCTTTTTGGCTTTATCCTTTTTATCTTTCACAACCTTTCGATACGCTTCTAGATCTTTTTCCAACGGATCTATAAAACTTTCAAATTCCAGCTGCTTTAGTGCATCCAAAATGTTTGTCGCTGTTATGGTTTTATGATTCTGTTTACGTGCCAAAGATGTTGAGGTGGAGGTCAGGAAGATTACAAATACCGATGCAGCTCGAGCAATGGCAGATCGCGCCTCCTTGGAAACATTGGCACCATCAGGCAGGGCATCTTTCAGTAGACGTGTGATCACTGCATTGGGTAAATTTAAATCTTCAATACGTTCGACCATTGTTCTTCCGGATATATCTAACACGCTTTTTCACAACAAGCTAACTCTCAAGCGGCGTTGGATTTGTTTACAAACTGCAAAAAATGCGAAAAATTGACGCAAGTAGATTTAAGTTAAACATTAAAAATACGGAATACCAAAAAAATCAAAATGTAAGAAAAGACAATTACCTACAAAATTATTTAAAATAAATGTGGTCCCTGGTATAAGTGAATTAAATTAAAATTTATTTGAATTTGGTTATTTTTGACTGGATTGATGCGAAGATGCCGTGAGAATGCTTTACTTGCGCCTTTTTCACCGACTGAAGAAAAATTGAAAAACGTTCCACCTAACTAACGAATGGCAGGAGAAGACAAAATGGACGATAAAGAAGAACGCAAAAGTATAACCGAAAATTTACGAATGAGGTGGGATTGAGACTAAACGAGAACCGAATTGTTTACGAATGAGGTTTAGGCAATCTATGATTAGGGATAAAGAAATTGACTTTCGACTAAACGGAAGCGTTACATGATTAGTCGCCGCGCCGACATTTTTGCCGTCTCAATTTCGGAATGTCGGTAAATAGGCATGGTACAATTATAAAAGGTAACAGCAAATCCCAGCTGATTTGATTCCAACGTAATACTAGTGTCAATATGAATTTGACAAATTATGTTTTTAAAAATCACCCAACAGGAAAATTGGGAACGCATACAATTTGAAATTGTTCTTTATTAAATGTGCTCCCGTATTCAATTTACTCAATCTGCCTGGTGGGAAAGTTTGAGGAAGCAAATCTTTCTTCAAGGAACAACTCGCTATTCCCTGCATTTTCATATGTGTTACACATATATATGGCAATGGCTCAATTATAGGAAAGATGTGGAAGCGATAGAAATATAAATTTGATAGATTTTCATTCATGTTTTTCGATTTTAATTTTGAGGATTCGAAAATATTTCATTTTCAAAATAAAAATAATTTTATGATAATTTGTTTGTTTACATTTTTCTGTCAAATGAGTTGACACTAGTAGAACTTACAACAACAAATTTCCATGTGGTTGTTGTATCGTTTTTTGTACAACAACACTTGCTGTTACCTTTTATTATTATACCATGGTAAATAGGGTGTTTACATGGGCGCGTTAGACTACGTTTAGATTTACAAAATCCCCTCGTTTGAGAACGAGTGGATTAAATAGTCTAAACGTGCTTTTTAACTACAACTTTTTTCTTGATAAGGTGCATTATCTCGATTTAATTGCTAAATCGAGTTCAATTTACCACGATTTGCCATACAAAATTAATCCACCCAGAGTCTCGATTTGTTCGAAATCCTATACTAAATCGAGTTAATTTCGAATATAACAGTACTGTTTACATTTAACCGGATCTCGTTAACCCAGTGGGTTTCAATTGTCATTTTCTTTGCATATATGTCAAATAAATCCTTATAAAGTAGGTTAACCCGGTAAAAAGTTCTAATGTACAAGGAGTTTAATCCTGTTTTTACACAAAACTTACAGTATGTTTACATTTAACCGGATTTGGTTAACCCAGTGGGTTTCAATTCTCATTTCCTTTGCATATATGTCAAATAAATCCTCATAAAGTAGGTTAACCCGGTAAAAAGTTCTAATGTACAAGGAGTTTTATGAAACCATAATTCTCCTTAAAGTATGCTACAAAATACAATTCAATTATATATATTACAATTCAAAATAGTTGCGTTCCAAAAATATGGCAGCTGATTAAAAATTATTTTTTTTAAATTTATAATTAATATTTGTGTAATTTGAAACTATACTCTCCAAGTTGTGAAAATTACCACATAAATTATGAACCCAGTGAATTATGTATGTAACAGCTGACACCCATTCCATATAAAATTTCAAGTGAAAATCTCAACAACTCTTGATGATATAGCCGATTTTTTGTGTTAGCATCAAGTGACGTTAAGAGGGCTTCTCAAACTTTAAACGCATTTGTTTTTCCAAACAGCGTTTTTGCGAATGACGGGCACGATAACTCAAAAACTAAAAACCCAATAGATTTCAAATTTTATAGTACGTTTACATTTAACCGGATTAGATTTCAAATTTTTTAGTACGTTTACATTTAACCGGATTTCGTCAACCCAATGGGTTTCAACAAATCGAGTCGATTTAGAAGGCATAGAATGACAGTCAGAACTGAACACAATACACAGTATTGTGTCAATCGGAAAAACGTTAGGTATTGGGCGAATCTTGTATTAAAATCGGAAGAAAATAAATAAGGGAGCTTTATTTAAATCTAACCCTATTCACTATGGTTCGTATTTGGTTTAGTTAGATAGTAAACAGTATTGCCGTTTTGGCATTATGAACCAAATAAATTTTCTAATTTGTTCCGAAGGTTGGCTATTTCTGTCCATTTTGCTAAATTTTAATCTTCCGATTTTGGTCTTTTTTTAGCGATCATTGATATTAATTGCGATCTTTTTTTGTTTTATGTATATCCTCAAAATTACTATATGTCTATCTTGTTTCGTTTCAAATTTTACAAACAAATGCATTAAAACATATAAAAACGTTTTGTGTAGTTATTAAAAAGCCGCTCAGCTGTTTAAATGTTTGGACTTTTCATTCGATTACAGTGTTGTTGTTCCAAAAAGGGCGTTGTTACATTACTTGATCATATGTTACACACAAAGTTAAGATATGTAATTTAATTTCACACTTTTACATTTTTAAAGATATATAGAATAATGGAAAATTCAAATAGAATGCGGTATGTTTATTGCATTTGTTAGCATTTATTTTTTGTCTATCAGATGTTAGTCGAAGATACGTCTCGGATTATCCATCCGTAGAAAAAGTACAACGGTGTGATATCACACGATCTTTGGGGCTATTTGATAGGTAGTCCATTTAGAGCAGATATGGCCATGAGGGTTCCATTAAAAAATATATACTTGAGTGGTGTGGACGGTAGATTTTCGAAAATTAGCTGGGGCCAACACATGACAAATTTAAAAGATCAACAAAAAACACTGCCAAAAATTGTCTTTGCGTTTGTTTTTATAGATTAATTTCTAATAAAGATCATTTTGACAAAACGGGTGATGTCATCTGATCCTATTGTTCGATCTCTTAAATAGGCCATGCATCAACATTAAACGTGGTTAACCCATTAAAGGCCAACTGCCTTTAAAATTAAAAATTATCCATTCTGTTCATATAGTATGTATGAAGAGAACATATAGAACTCAAAAATATAAAATTTTATAAAAAAGTATTTTTATGATTTTTACAATACAATTATGTATATGTGCTTGACCCTAGTCCAAATAACCAAAAATCAAATCAAAAGCAGAAAAAATAAATTTCTTAGAGGCTTTATGACATTTCAAATATGAATATTTTTCTGTACCTGTGCAAGTACAATGGACGTTAAAGGTATGTATACGTTGGAAGGTATAGGGCATGACACAATGAATAGGTAGTCCATTTAGAGCAGGTGATGTCTTGATTAACTGTCAAAGTGCGTAATTTCTACTTGAAATCGATGTGCAATGCTTCTAACTTTTTGAAATATTTTAAGGAAAAATTTGACAGAGGGTCGAGACAAAAAAAAAATCTTTTTGTTTTGATACATCACCTTATTATTGCATCATGGTATAGGGCTTAGGTCAATAACCCGGAAGCAGGGAACATCTATTTTTTTTTTCTCAAGCTTATATGGCATTTACATTAGAACTTTTTACCGGGTTAACCTACATTATGAGGATTTATTTGACATATATACAATGGAATTGACAATTATAACCCACTGGGTTAACGAAATCCGGTATAATGTAAACGTACTATTAATGTTACAAATCATATTGACATATTTAAAAAAAAATTAAACAAAATATCATAGACTCATGCAGTCATATGTTTCCCATTTTTCCTAAATTTGTCTTTGACAGTATTCAGCTTTCAATTTATAAATGTTTTGAAGTTCCTTGCCTCTAAAACTTATAAATAAAGGATGTAACATACATAAAATTTTATGGAATTTATTTTTCATTTTATTTAAAATTGATATATGAATTCCAAACTAAAAAGGGTTGCAATTATCAATTTCTCAAATGAGACTACCTTCTGAATTATGCCATGGAAATATAGAACAATGGACATTTTTTTAGTTTCCTTAACCCTTTCAGTGTCAAAGAAAAATTTTGTCGGAATAAAAATCTAAAATTTTGTATTTAAAATCATATAAAGGGACATAGTTTAGAAAAAAAGCAATTGTCATTTTAACCCTCGGCCAGTTTCATTTGTTTTTCAGCAAAAACAAAAACATCAATAGTAACGGTACATAGGATAACCGAAAAATCGCAAAGAAAGAGAGTACTTTTAAATGTCGAATATATTCGACAAAAACACTGAAAGGGTTAATGTGAAGTCAATTAGCAGTAATGCATTTTGACAGCAAACTTGAGGAGCAGATGATCAATCTGGGTGACCTTATTCATAGACCTATTTATAGATTTGGACATGGTGTCTCGATTAACTGTCAAAGTGCGTAATTTCTACTTAAATACGCACTTTGACAGTATTAAATGGACTACTAATTTATTGTGTCATAGATTGGTACATCATTATTGATGATTATTATTGCATCATGGATTTGCACAGCATTATCTTTCAAGGCCTATTAATAAGGTCATCCGCGAAGACCAGCTGTATATCTCAAGTTTGCTGTCAAATCCATTATTGTGAATTGTTTCACATTATGAATAAAAAACAACGTCCAAATTTTTGTCATTTAAATATAGAACTGACTTCTGTTTTCCGCCTTTTGGTTGACCATTTTAGTAGTCCATGGTTATCTTTCGATCTTTATACACTGCACCAAGAAGTGTATATTCAAAATTCCTAAAGTCGTTCAGAATTTTTATTTGGGGGCTAGTCTATGTACCATGGTAAACGAAAATACCAACCGATTGGGCTAGGACCTTGAATATACCCTTTGTTTGGGGAC